ATTAGACAGCACTAAGTCATGATATGCTGATGTGAAGTTTGATGTTTTTGGATCTTAAGAAACACTTCTACAGTTTCCTACATTCACCACTCTCTTCTCTGTGCTATTCTTCTCCGTGCAGTTCTTCATCATGATACTTGGCTTCAGTGTGTTTCTATTAAACTGTAAGAGAAAGGACAGAATTTATAAAACAAAGGATATCAGGGCCAGCCCTTGATGCAGATGGAAGGCCTCCAGGCTCCATGAGTTACAGACTGTCAGCATCCTATAGCCTTTCTTGCGCCTCCCATTATATCCTTTTCTCAAGTTCTTCATTTACAATGGCTAAAAATGACCAGTAATAGCTTTAGATGTGACCTCTTCTAAGAGTCCTTTCATTTTTAAGCAATCAAAACTTTAGTTAAACTGGAAGAATTAATCTCTAGTGTGGTCAAATATCTGAGTCTTAGTATCAGCTAGCTAGCTCTCTTGCTTACTTGCTGTGAGATCTTTGGCAAGTTACTTTAACTTTCTGGAGCTGGTTTCTTCATTCATAAATGAGAAGGCTGAATTACATAAGATATGAGGTTCTTTCCAGTGCTAACCTGCCTGATAACATTACCATTGTCCCTGGGACCATGTCTATGTGAAGACTCATATTCCTTTATTGATGGAGATAGGCAGACCCCTAGACAGATACAGAGAGAACTTCAAAGACAAGTCCAGGCTCTACCATGTCTAATCTGTGACTTTGGGCAAGTCACACATTCTCATGGTCTCTGATCTTCATTCTGTTAAACTGTGTTAGTATTCTCAAACCCAGGGGTTTTTGAATAATGAATGAAAATATTTGATATTAAGCTCTACAAATGTAAGTGATGTCCATCATTGTGATGGCACCTGAAGGCCCACTGAGTCACTGGGAACCTTCCCTCCCTGTGAGAATCCTGGGAGTCCAAGCAGCTCTTTGCACAGCTGTCCACCTTACATAGACGTTGCCTGTGCTCTCACTCCCAGCTTTGTACCTGGTATTGTTCTGTCTGCAGCTCCTCCCTCCGACATTTCTTGTATTTGAGTATTTCCCAAGCAGCCGTGACCATACAAGTTATCTATGTGAATAGCTTGTTACTTTGAGGTTTGGTCAGAAAACAAGCCTCCCTAAATTAGGCAGTTTACACCGTTCTGTCTCACCACACAACACGTGTACACTGATGTACTTCTTTACCCTCCCACATGCCTTTTTGCTCATGACTTATAAAAATATTAGATTCTTGAGCCAGGTTCAGTGGCTTATACCTGTAATGTCAGCAACTCAGGAGGCTGAGACAGGAGGATTAACTGAGGCCAGGAGCTCAAGACTGTCCTAGGCAGCATAGCGAGACCCCATCTCTAATAAAATGAAAAATAAAAAAAATTAGCCGAGCATGGTGGTACATGCCTGTAGCCCTAGCTTCCCAGGAGTTCGAGGCTGCAGTGAGCTGTGATCATTTCATAGCACTTCAGCCCGGGTGACAGAGCACTATCCTCCTCTCTCTTTAAAAAAAAGAAAAAGAAAAAAAAAAAAAGAAAGGCTGGGCTCAGTGACTTCAGTGACTCACACCTGTAATCCCAGCACTTTGGGAGGCCAGGGTGGGTGGATCACCTGAGGTCAGGAGTTCGAGACCAGCCTGGCCATCATAGTGAAACCCTATCTCTGCTAAAAATACAAAAATTAGCTGAGTGTGGTGGTGCACACTCGTAATCCCAGTTACCGGAGACTGAGGCAGGAGAATCGCTTGGATATGGGAGGGGGAGGTTGCAGTGAGCCAAAATTGTGCCATTGCACTCCAGCCTGGGTGACAAGAGTCAAACTCCATCTCAGAAAAAAAGAAAAGAGGGAGATTCTTCTTCAACTCCTGTTCTTTCCACCTCCCCAGTCAAGCCAAAAGGCATAGATGTGGCAGGGCATCTGAGGGGAAACCAAGAACTGGGATACAGGCCGGGCGCGGTGGCTCAAGCCTGTAATCCCAGCACTTTGGGAGGCCGAGACGGGTGGATCACGAGGTCAGGAGATCGAGACCATCCTGGATAACACGGTGAAACCCCGTCTCTACTAAGAAATACAAAAAACTAGCCGGGCGAGGTGGCGGGCGCCTGTAGTCCCAGCTACTCGGGAGGCTGAGGCAGGAGAATGGTGGGAACCCGGGAGGCGGAGCTTGCAGTGAGCTGAGATCCGGCCACTGCACTCCAGCCTGGGCTACAGAGCGAGACTCCGTCTCGGAAAAAAAAAAAAAAAAAAAAAGAACTGGGATACAAAGGTTCGTAAGACCCTTCCCTACCTTCAGTCATGTTTAAGGGCTGCAAGAGAATTGAGTGCAGGATGCTCCAGAAGATTCCTGATGCGGCAGGAAGGTGGGGAAAAGCTTAGAGGAGATGGTATTGAGTGACAAGTACAAAAAAGTAGGGGGAGGCATCTCCATTTTACAGATGAGGAGATAATGTCAGAAGGTTAAGGAACTGTGCCAGAGTCACAACATGTCACCAGAGAGGCTAGAATTCAGAATCTGAAAGAATGCTAGCCTGAGGTTTTGCACCAAGATAAACTGCTGTATGAAAGACAAGCAAGTAATTTTGGTTCTTTACTTTTTGTCCATTGCTTTCCAAGGTTGCAAATATGTAAGTGCTAAGTTAAAAGAAGCAAATAATTTCATTTTTTTAAGTGACAGTTTTTTGAGGAGAGAGGAATGAAGCAAAAACTAGTGTTTGGAACAATGCAAAGTTAGACTTTTTAGGAAAACCGTCTTATTTTTACCAGTATGCTGAAAATTATTAGAGATATTTTTCACATCTTATAATGTCATATATAGTATAAGGTTAATGCTAATATAATTATACTTGTGTACTTGGTTAGTGCCCTGTGAGGGTTTTTTCCTGCAACTGAAAAGCTTCCTTTTTTCTTCCTTCCTTTTTTTGTTTTTATTTATTTATTATTTTATTTTATTTTATTGAGACAGAGTCTCACTCTGTCACCCAGGCTGCAGTGCAATGGCACAATCTTGGCTCACTGCAGCCTCCGCCTCCTGAGTTCAAGCAATTCTCCTGCCTCAGCCTCCTGAGTAGCCGGGACTTCAGGCACGTGCCACCATGCCCGGCTAATTTTTGTATTTTTAGTAGAGGCCCCGGGGTTTCGCCATGTTGGTCAGGCTGGGACTATAGGCATGCACTACCACACCCGGCTGATTTTTGTATTTTAAGTAGAGACGTGGATTTCCCCATGTTGGCCAGGCTGGTCTCGAACTCCTGTCCTCAGGTGATCCATCCACCTCGGCCTCCCAAAGTGCTGGGATTACAGGCGTGAGCCACTGCGCCCAGCTGTCCTTTCTTTTTTTAAAAATATAAACGAGGTATAAATGAGAAATGTAGCTTATTGTCATTTAATTCAAAGTTACCTACATTCCATAGACTCCAGAGAGGGTGAATTGGCTTTACATGTAAGTCTTTTTCTGCAGTGTGTTAATTATACTAAAGCAAATTATCTTGCCAAGATTCTAAAATCCATTCTTTTGTTTGACCTGTGTAGTTACAGATCACCTAAATTGAAGATCACCTAAAATTTGGTTCCTGTTTTTCCATGAATATCAATTTATTTCTTGCTTATCTCAATTCCCAAATGGCCTAGAAGAATACAGATTTATTACAACGTTATATACACGTTCTTGGACTTTAAGTCACTTTTCTCAAACAAACATTTTCATTTTAGTTATCTTAATGACATTTCCATGGTTTAAAAGAACATTGTTGACATGCCTTTCATTGGGCAAGTTACAGAATTTATGTGATCTAAGTCTCCTCTTAACAGGAAATATGAGCTCTAAATTCCCTTCCTCCTGTAAGATTCTATGATTCATTATTTTGTTTCAAGTTAATGCTTTACCTTTAATAGCTTAAAGGTAAATAGAGGGTTCTTGATGGATCAGGGCTAGAAGAATCATTTTAAGTTACCAGGTGTGACAAGTCTGGTGGCTCTGGCGTCCTTTTATTTCTTGGCCAGAAGACATCAAGAGTAATCCATTTTCGGGCTTAAGTGAATTTTGTGAGATTTGACCATGGAATAATATGACTGCCAGCATGTCACAGGTGCACAATTGGCAGACAATAAATGATCGTTGAAGTCAACTTAGGTGTGGTTGAATTGATTGTCTTGGTGAGTTATAAACTGTTTCTAAATAAAGTCCCCCCCAACCCCCCAAAAGAGAGAGAGATTCAAAACTAAGCCCAGGAAGGAAAATGAACGTACAAATATTTATATGCAGATGTTTATGGCAGCTTTATTTTTACTAGCTTAAAAACTGGAAACAACCAAATGTTTATCAGTTGGTGAATGGATCAACAAAGTGTGGTACAGCCATACAATGGAACAGGACCCAGCAGAAAAACAGAGCAAACTATTGATACTTGCGACCACACAGGTGAATTTCATCTCAAAGGCATTATGCCACAGGAAGGAAACCACACTCAAAAGACTACATACTCTATGGTTCCACTTACTGGAAATTCTTTAAAAGGCAAAGCTGTAGGGACAGAAAGCAGATCTGTAAAATGTTACCAGGGTCTGTGGTGAGAGGAAGGCACTGACTGTAAAGGGATATGAAGGAATTTTCTCAGGTTTTGGAAATGTTCTGTATCATTTCAGTGGTAATGATATGAATGTATACATTTGTCCAAACTAACCACGTTGTACACTTAAAATGGGTGACTTTTATTATATGCAAATTACACCTCAGATAAAAACAAGCAGACACAGCCAGGGCAGCATCTGGAATGCCTTACAAAGTGACTACTTCACTTGAGGAAGTAATCATTTTTAAACTGCCAATTTTGAAAGCCTGTTGTTAAGATATTAATAGCATTAATTTTTATGGTGAATCTATACCAAATATTGACCCCCCTAAAATGTGTTTGCATAGAGAATAGTGAATGATCCGCTGGCTTTAATATCTCATTACATTTTTGCTTTCTTTTTGTCTCTCTGCCCAACGTAGAAAAACTAATTGAGGGACTCAAATCTCCTGACACTTCTCTTCTGCTCCCTGACCTCTTGCCTATGACAGATCCTTTTGGTAGCACTTCCGATGCTGTAATTGGTAAAGTCATCATCTCTGTTTCTTCAGTCATGCATGATATGTGTGCCTGTTTCAAGAATGACAAGTACCTAGTTAACCAGTCCCCAGGGAATAGCCCTGCCACCCCCGAAGCCAAAGCTATTTAATCTCACTTGTATCACTCCAAATGAAGTGTTTTCCCTGCTTTTCAGGGGTACAGCGTCTATTTTTTGCCTTTCTTAATACCTTAGGATTTCTAAAGTGGATCTCTTATGAATGAGGAGGAATGTGAAAAGTTTCACATGTAGTTAGAAAGACTTTAAAAAGTTGGTTTCTAACTAGACTTTACCTTTGCTGAACTTAATGAAATTTAGCAGATTCTTCTTCTTTTTTTATTTTATTTTTATTTTTATTTTTTGAGACAGAGTTTCGCTCTTGTTGCCCAGGCTGGAGTGCAGTGGCGTGATATCGGCTCACCACAACCTCTGCCTCCCAGGTTCAAGCGATTTTCCTGCCTCAGCCTCCCGAGTAGCTGGGATTACAGGCTTGCACCACCACACCTGGCTACTTTTTATATTTTTAATAGAGACAGGGTTTCTTCATGTTGGTCAGGCTGGTCTCAAACTCCCGACCTTAGGTGATCCACCCACCCCAGCCTCCCAAAGTGCTGGGATTACAGGGGTGAGCCACCATGCCCAGCCCAGATTCTTCTTTAGAAGGCCCATGTACATCCAGCTGCAGTGGGACCAGCCTGGGAAACATAGGAAGACCCTATCTCTACAAAAAAAAAATTGTTAATTAGCCAGGTTTGGGGGCGCACACCTGTGCTACCAGCTCTTTGGGAGGCTGAGACAGAAGATCGCTTTGAACCAGGGGGTTTGAGGCTGCAGTGAGCCCTGATCATGCCACTGCCCACCAGCTTAGGTGACAGAGACCCATCTTAAACAAAATTTTAAAAATGTTATAAGGTCCGTGTATATACCAAGTATCAGTAACTGATAAAACATTTTGCCCACTGGTTAAGCCCCATAAATAGAATCCAGGGCAGGGGCTTGGTCTGCTTCCTGTCTCACATTTCCCTGTGTTCCAACAGCAAGGCAGGCCAAATTTGCAAAATGTTCAAGGCCCCTGTACTTCAGGAGGGTCCAATTATGAGACACCTAATAATGCCTTTGGGCAGAAAGTCCTAGAACTCAGAAGTGCCATGACCTTGCATAGAGGTAGGCCTGCAGCTGAGGGGTGTCACATGGTGTAAAAAGCCTCCCAGCTACATCCTGGGATGGGGTTTGAGATGGATTAATGGCCTTCACATGGCACAGAGGATATTTGTCCCCAGGTTTATCCCTTAATAAAAGCAAAATTACCAGAAAAAATTAAGGTGCCTTTCAGCCCATCTCTTCTGACATGGAAAAGGTTTGCTGAGTGGCTTATGTTCCAAATTTGTTTATGAGAACTGATCATCAGTGAGACTGGCCGCAGTGTTTCGCCTTGCACACGCATGCTCAGTGAAGCCTAGACGTTCAGAGCAGCAGAAATAAAGGAACTTACTGTTCTTTCCACTTTGCCTGAGACTGGCATTTTAGAGACCTGTTAAAAGAAAGCCTTCACACGGCTGGGTGCTGTGGCTCACGCTTGCAATCCCAGGACTTTGGGAAGCCAAGGTGGGAGAGATCGCTTGAGCTCAGGAGCGAGACACCATCTCAAAAAATGAGAATTTGAAAAAAGAAGAAAGCTTCACAGAATTTCCTAAAGAAACTTCTGACTCCCTTTCCCTTACCCTTTCCTCTTCTTAATGCTCTGTTACGAAAGAAAAAGCTGACGTTGCTGTTGAGAGTCTCATCCCAGGACTGGAGCCCCCAGTTCCCCAGCGCCTCCCATCTCAGACGGAATCTGTGACCTCGAATCGCACAGGTCAGTCAGGGGTCTCTGCAGCTGCAGGGACTGGTCGGTGCGGTGAACCTCTGAGCCAGTCTTTTCACGTGACTCGATCGATCCCGGGCTTCTTTTGCAGCCCAGGTACTTCCTGCTGAAATGGGCACTCTGAATTGTTACAGCCCCAGCTTCTAGAGGTTGAGGGATATATTTCCTTGCTAAAGAACTGAGTACTTTTTGGAGCCATGTTCTCTGTGGAGTAATCTCTGGGCTTTCTCTGGTTACAGTATTTCTTTATTCAAGATTCTTTTCACTGGTGGCGGGATCCCTCTATGTCCTTAATTAAAGAACTCCACCGAGCTGTAAGGACACCCTTAACCCTCCAGATTGCTGTGCATCTTTCCAGTCTACCAATGTCAGTGATGGCCATGGAGCTCATCTTCTATATATTGATGTTCTGTTCCCAGCATAGTGCTTTAATCTTGTATAGGTAATTTGCTATTAAATTGTAGGCAAAGTTGAAGTCTTCCCTAGATCTAATATTGCTTGTACCCTGATTTCAAAATTCAGTCTTACAGTCTTAATAGAATTTCTTAACTGCCCACAAATACAGATTTGGTAACCTTTTTTTTATTTTTGGGTCCATAATTCCCTTGATAAAAGTATCTGGTTTTCAAACTTGGATAGAAACAATTAGAAGCCTAGGAAACGTGTGGATAAATTCATGCAGGTGAAAAAAAAAATACCTCCAAAGACAATATGATTTATTTTCCTTGTTCTCATTTGAATGTTTTCTCCTAGAAAACTTTCTCAGAAAACAATCCCTGTGTTAAAATGCTTAAACTCAGGCCGGGTGTGGTGGCTCACACCTGTAATCCCAGCGCTTTGGGAGACTGAGGTGGGTGGATCACCTGAGGTCAGGAGTTTGAGACCAGCCTGACCAACATGGAGAAACCCCGTCTCCACTAAAAATACAAAATTAGCCGGGTGTGGTGGCGCATGCCTGTAATCCCAGCTACTCGAGAGGCTGAGGCAGGAGAATCACTTGAACCCAGAGGCAGAGGTTGCGGTGAGCCAAGATCGCCCCACTGCACTCCAGCCTGGGGGACAGAACCAGACTGCATCTCAAAAAAAAAAAAATACTTTGAGTTTTTGTCTTGGTTTTCTGAAATCAAAATCATGTTCAAAGGGCCAATTTCAATGTAAAGAATACTAGTAAGAGGCATTGTGGGTGGGAACCTGGTTCTAGAAGGTACTGTTTAATCTTGTCGCATTTTGCTAATAATAAGCCAGAGGCAACCCTCTCCTAATCAGTTTGGATACTTCGTCCTATGGTAACTTCTTTCATTGAGTGTTTAGGGAAACTTTAAGTGAAAGTCTAATTGTAAAGTTTTTTTCTCCCAAATGGCATTCACTAAGAACTGAGGTGCTAAAGTTAGCTCAGCATCCAAATCACAGACCTGTTTAACCAGCAACCTCTGGGCAAAAAATTTTCCTCTATTTCTATATTAATGTTAAGAGGAATCTAGAAAGACATGTTTCTGTAGATGAAAATCCAGAAGGCTTCACAGATTTCTTTTGGTTTTCTTTCTCCCACTTTGGCTTGTATGTGTAATGTGTAAATGCAGTAACTTAAAGGCTAAGATCTAATCTCATGATATTGTTGTGTGTGCCACTTAATGCCATCACTGACCTGGGATGCTGTGAATCTGGACTCAGATTCTCTCACCGGGGAAGATTCCCTGCTTGATTGTTCTCTGCTCTCTAACCCTACTACTGACCTTCTGGAAGAGTTTGCCCCCACAGCAATCTCTGCTCCAGTCCATAAAGGTAAATGCTTTCTTCTTCTCAGGCCCGCATGTGTCCTTAGAGGGGAAAGAACTAAACAACTTTTGAGAGTTTTTCTTATCAAAAGTCTTTACTAGTGAAGTTTTAAAACTACCTCCTTATATGGAAAACTTGAGTTTGTACTCTTACATACTGTGTTTTAATACCTCTCAGTGAGAATATTTACTAAGACTTAGACAATGGGCCAGGTATGGTAGCTCAGGCCTGCAATCCCAGCACTTTGGGAGGCTGAGGTGGGAGGATCACTTGAGCCCAGGAATTTGAGACCAGCCTGGACAACATACGGAGTCTCAGTCTCTACAAAAAAATGTTTTAATTAGCCAGCCATGGCAGCATGCACCGATGGTACCAGCTTCTCGGAAGGCTGAGGTAGGATGATTGCTTGAGGCCGGGAGGGCAAAGCTGCAGTGAGCTATGATTATACCACTGCACTCCAGCCTGGGCAGCAGAGCAAGACTCTGTCTTAAAAAAAAAAAAAAAATAGCAGACAGGTACTAAAAATAAATAAAATTAAATCTAAAAAAAGACCTAGACAACAGATTGGTGAAAGTATTGCTTTCTGGCAAGAACATAGAATGCACATATTCCATGTTACCTTTAAAAGCTAGGTACCTTTGCAATCAATTCAAGTAGATGGTTGAAGTAACTATCTACTATCTGCTTATAATGATCAATATGATGCTTGTTGGCCTTAGATGTAAAATGGTTTTATCATATCTGATTCAAAGTTATTGCATAGTGATGACTGCAATAAAGAAATAAGCATCTTTCCTCAAAAGTCAGTCCTGTAAGTTTGAACTTGTAGAAGTTCACCTTCAAGTCATGATTGGTTACTGGATTTCTCTTTCTAATCTACCATTTTCATTTTTTAGTCTTGGGTTAATAGTGGTCTGAAATCCTGCTGGACAGAGGTAGCTTGAATCAGATTCTATTCAATGAGTAGTTTGTGACAGTATCAGGCTCAATGCCTGGCTTACTTTGTTACTGAACTTTCTGTGATTGGGTAGGGAAAATAGTCTTCTGGAAAGAAAAAATGCATAGAAAAGGAAGAGCTTAAGTCCCTTCAGGAGAAAATTCAAGAAGGAAGACTCCCCAGGATGACTAAAAATAATCACCCCTGTGGTTTGCAATGGTAATAGCTGAGTTTTTGTTTTTACGCCTGATAACATTAAAATGATTATGTTTTTATAGGTGATGTAGAGGGAAGTTACCTATTTAGACAGTGATGTCTGGCAGGAGTGTGTCAGCAGCAATGTAGAATTACAGAGAAGCATCATTTGCAAAATAGGTGCTCAGCTAGCACTTGCTTTGCGGGTAGGATAGCTTTAATTAGAATGGATAAGACTATTCTAACAAACCTTCTACTTGAGGCCTCAGTATATGTAATCTTGTGCCTCAACATTCCCTGAGGAGTCTGAGTTGTTTCAATGTCTTTTTTTCCCAGTCACAGTGCAGTGAGTCCTTCCAGCAGTATTTTGTTTGCCTTGTATACATACAGTGGTTACTTCTTAGAGAGCCACCAATTCTCTTCCTCCTCCCCCGCCCCCGCCGCCGTCCCAGTTTTGAGTTTTTCGAATATTGTTAGGCCTCTGTTCCCCCAGTGAAGACAGGTGACTTATTCCTATGCCTTTGTGGATTAGTGACATTGAAGAGATACCTCACAATAATTATAATTAATGGCTTATAAATATTAGAATTCTTCCAAGAACCCTTCTCCCTAATCATTTATAAAAGTCTTAACATGACCAACTCTAAAGCATTTTTTTCTATATCTCTGTATTTTCCAGTTTTGCTACTTTTATTTCAACTCAGAAAGATGAGTACTTTCACCTTTGGAAATAACAGGGCTGTACAGTTGAGATCTTTGTGCCTCTTTCGCATTCTCTCATTTGCTAATCTCTACCTCTGTTGTTTCTGCTTGTGTACTTGCATTCTGTATTAAGCTGCAGAAGATAGTAATCTCATCTCAGGTTTTGATGTCCCTGAGGGCTCGGACAAGGTGGCTGAAGATGAGTTTGACCCTATTCCTGTATTGATAACCAAAAACCCACAAGGTAAGAAAAAGGATGGGGAAAAGAGAAGAGCTTGGCCTCAGTTCTCTTCAAAATAGTCATGCACCTAATCTGCAAGGGGGAAGAAAAGCATCAACATTTAATGAAGGACATTGGGAGTAATGAGAATCATTGTAGGCTGGACCAGTATAGATAGATAGAGATAGGTATCTTTAAAGTTTGACCATGGTGTTTATTTAGAGAGAAGTATTTAACAGTTGGCCAAAAGTTAGTTTTTACCATGAAGCCAAAAGCAAAATGATCTTCAGTCAGTGGAAACCTGAAGGTATATATCAAAAGCACATCACATTTTTTATCATGATTAGAATAATCCGTAATAAATATTTTTCCCAAAGAGATTAACAGCTGTGTTTTGGTATCATTCACATCTTTCTGACATTAATGGAGCATCCTTTTTCAACTTTGATGGATGAAAATCATTTGAACATGCCATAAAACACTAAACTGCCATGGGACCATCTATTTATTTTTTAAAGCATGTTCTTATTGCAGTATCTTAATAACTAGTTTCTCCCCAAAGCAAAAATTATTGATTTTTACTTTGTCAAAGGGAGATGGCTTGATATTATCAGGAAGTTAGTATATAGCCAGCAATTCTCAACCAAAAAAAAAGTATTGATTTGAAAATACTTTTGCAAGGACTCTTTGCAAGATGTCCTGCCTATACTGTGGTGTGCACAGAGTGCCTGAGCTTTTGGTGGGAGGTGGTGGACAGCTAACGTATGTGTTTCAAAATCAACATGTAAGGGTTTGCAAATGTAAACTATTGCTTCTCTAGGGTTTGATTTTTTTGTTTTTTGTTTTGGTTTTGGTTTTGGTTTTGGTTTGGTTTTTCTTCTTTGCTTGCTCTGCACATCTAAACCTTTAACCCTCTATGTTTTGTACTGAATTCCTATCTCTCCACTTCCAGGTGGGCACTCTAGAAACAGCAGTGGGAGCTCTGAGTCCAGTCTTCCCAACCTAGCCAGGTCTTTACTGCTGGTGGATCAGCTCATAGACCTGTAGCCGTGACCCAGTAGCAGATGCAGTTCTGTAACCTTCATACCGTAAAATACATTTTCATTACGGAGTTATGAAAAAAATGATTTTTTTAAAAAAAATCTGCAGCTAAGGGGCCCTCCAGCCCTTTTCTCCTACCCCTTGCCTTCTCCTGTAGAAATGATAAGGAAAGAAAATCACTTTGGCCCTCCAGATATTCCTTGGCCAGTTCCTCCTTGTTAGTTTGCTGTGTTTTCTCATTACCCTTCTTCAATAGCATTATCTTAAATCAAGCGCTAGATGCCATGAGCTTCACCTCTGCTGGAATCGACTCCACCAAAAGCTTAACTGTAACTGAAACTAGTGAATTGACATTTTTGTCTCGTTCTTGCTAGGAATGGCCTCCCAAATCAATTCTCCCAACCCCTGTCTCCTTTGGCCAGATGCTGATGAATGTATTTCCCTGTTTTTGCTTTTTATCCTGATGCATTATCATGAGGACATGGCTACTTCAGTTGGTCTTAACTCTAGGCACTAGCCTGGAGATGGGTGTGTGGTTTAAGAAAGGGTAAAACTTACTGACTGGTAGTATACATTTGAGAAGAGAAATTGAGCCCAGCTCTAGCCAACCAACTTTGACCTTGTTTGATCATAGACTTAGCCAAGGGATTTTACACCCCATGCAACCTGCCCAGCATTCGTCCAGCTTTCTGGCTTCCATTGAACCGTGATTTCTCAGATCTGGAGACGTGACTGCAAGTACTTGAGATCCTTGGATAAAATGTGTACGTTATATAAATCCCAAGTATTGCCATTCCTTTTCATGTTAACTGTTCCAAGTGGGATCTCAGAATTAGACCAAAACAAGACAGTGGTGGTAATATGATACCTTTTATTAGAAGACTTTTCACTGGGGCGGGGGTGGGGGGAGGATGGGGAGGGGAAGGAATTGTAGCAGAAACAGATGTATTTTTCTTGTGATTTTTATTTTGAATCAAATATTGTAAATTGTGTATAAATGAAGATGCTGAATAGTTCTGTTTCCACTTGGCATTTCAAGTCTGATATCAGGTGTCTGTACAGGGTTTTGATCTCTTCCCCTTGTATAACTACACAGCAATCCTACAGTGTAACATATGGAATCATTTTGAATAGACTTGTGTGTTGCTATAAGCTTTCAGCAGGTCCTCTGTCTCTAGAATAAGCATGTTGTTTATTTTCAGATAATCGGAAATAAGTGTGCTGACAAGCTGGACACAATCTGGGTGTGCCCAGCTTACCTTTCTTTCTGATGTTTAAATTGAAGGCTGCAGCCAATGGAATATGTCCAGTTGGTTTTCCTTGGCTTCCTAGATTAAAAAAATAATTATAAAACAAAGCATAGTTCTTTATTAACTTTAGGATATTGTTCGTAAAATAAATAAAGGCCCCTGCACTAACATGACAACATGCCTCATGGTCACCCTCTGTATTATCCATTACTCACCACTTCCTCATTAAAGTGTATTTTATTTCCTTATGTGGAAAGCACTTTTATAACATCACCCTTTTGAAAAGAAGTGGGCACAGAGAACCCCAGTCTTGTTCTCTTCCTCTAGTGCCATTGTCCATCATCAAAAGGGAAACTCTCAGTTAATCAGATTTGTACAAATAAAATTCCAAGTCCATTTGCTTGTTTTGCTATCTGGTACTTTTGTTTCTTCTTCCTCATGTTTGCACTTTAAGGGGGGAAAAAGTTTAACAGCAACAACAGTATAAAACACTGCATTCTGGAGGGCAAGGTTTGACCCTAGGAATGTGCGAGCAGCCTTTGAAAGGCATTGGAGGAAAAGTCTGAATCTTCCAGCCTTCCTTCTGTCTATGAATACTTCCCGTGCTGGCTGAAACAAGATGAGCTAGGTAAAGGCCTCTAGATGATAACAGATCATTTCTAAAACTGAGAGAGGCACAAGCTTCCTGCCGAGGATTAAAAAGCAAAAGATATCCACGAAGGGCTCTCTGTGGTTGGATAGCAGTGAAAATAGGACTTGGTTTACCCCTTTATGGACAGGAAAATTGCTGCAGGTCAGAATTGTATTCTCTTTCCTGGACATAGAAAGAATGTATAAATTAATGAAGGAAATGTTTATTTTTAAATAAGAATAATGTTTGAGTTCTATGTTTTCATATATGATTTTTTTCATATATACATGTTAGAAATATAATGAAATATCTAGTTTCTCAATTTAATTGAAACTATGAAGAATACAGTTTAGAAATTAGGTATCTCTAAATTGTTCTTTTCATGCATTACCCATGATTACATTGAGATATATTATCTAGTCATTTGGCTCAGTAAAGCTTAATGGAGGCAGTTAATGAAAATGAGCAGACTAGAAGCCAGAGACAGTAGTAGAAGCCTGAGGGAGATAATGACAAGAAATCATCTTGGGCTTATTTAGAGTAAGGCCTCCTCAAAGGGGAGAACTGTTTTTCTGTTAAGGAACACGTATGAGTGCTTTGGTAAACGGAGCCTTCCTTGGTTTAGAGCATCATCCCTGAGCTAAAAGAGTTTCTTTGAGTTGAGCATAGTGTCCTAGTACCTGTGGAATCATAGCCTGAGCTACTAAGGGACCTTTGAGACCATCCTCTAGTCCACCATCCTCTTCATTTTACAGGTGTGGGACCTGAGCTGGATTGAACAGGGTCGGGGGAGAAGAGGCCTGGGCAGGACAGGCCACCTGGGATCTCATCCTGGCCCTTGCCAGCCACTGGCTGAGTGACCTTCAGCAGGCACTTCACCTCTCAGAGCTGCTGTTCCTTAGAGTTATACAATGGGTTTGGACTAGATGGTCTTTAAGATTATAGAAGTATAGGGACCTAAGTATATATTATTATGTTTAGAAGGGCTATGAAGGATTTATATAATCCTGATGTTCTTCAGTTATCTTCTGTAGTTCCTGCTATTATGGCAGCAGTGTTTACATTTTAAAGAATTATAATGGGCTTTTACTAACTTGCTTTCTCTTGATATCTGAATAGAAGCCTAAATCATAGTCTTAGAGATTTTCCTTTTTAAGTATTACAGAAACACATGCGTCCACACACACCTACCTATTCTAATAAAATGGTATCAGAAGATTTCTTTTTAAATGTATAATCAGGGATCTACCAGTTTAAAACGGGCAAATACTATAAGCATATGTTTCTGATTTGCTTTTATTCCAGCTATGTAAGAGGAATAACTATAGCAGAAAACATCACAAATTGATTTTTCCCTTTACAACATTCAAATGAGTCCCAATGTTTTCAAAAATACATACCTCAGAGGAGATAAGGCTTAAGTGGACACTTCTAAGTATGATTATGATTGTTATAATTAATGATTTATTTAGCAGACATATCAGAATTTTGACATCTAATTAAGTGTTGTTCCCTTCAATGTCATCTAGTTTTACTTAAGAAGTTAATACTTATTCTAATGATGCTGCCATCCTTAAAGTTATTTTTGAAACTCCTCTCCTTAGAAATAATATCAAGGAAGGTAATAAGGTATAAGAAAATCAGTTACATTATTTAATTAGTATAACTTTGAGAAAGCATCTGAAAGTGTATTCATTCTTTATCTACCTTTTCTACTACTCTTGGTTCTGAGTAACATTTAACCATTTCCAGAAAGCAAATTCAACCCTGTAAGATGAAGAATGGTTACTGTTGAAGACGGTAAAAAAGAATAATCCACAAAAAATTCTCAGAGAGGACCTTATAATAGAAAGTGAACATGATTAAGACTTAATTTCTTTAATTTTCTGAATAAGGAAAGTTCTGTGATTCCCTAGTGTTTAGAACGGTTTAAAAAATGGAAAGATACGGGGATTAAAACACCTCTGAAAGAAGTTGTCACTTTGTTCACTGTTATTTGATATTGGACTTGACTTTTCCCGAATCAGAATTACAGAACTTGGACTGCTAATACTTGTGGAAAAACAAACCCAAGAAACGAACCTACTTTTCTCAAGATGTAATATTTGCTTTGTTGTTAATACTTTTGTTTGTTTTGAATACTTATTTCCTACTCTCCTGACAGATAATTGATCAACCAATATAACCTTCCCCAGGTCAGGAACAGTTCTGCCTTCGGCAGTGCTATGGGAATGAAGGGATCTCTGGGGCTGACAGCCTGTGATGTGGAGGGATCTGCACTCAGCTGAATAAATACATGCTATAGATACCTTGGGTCAAAATACAGTCTCTCTTGATAAGATTTTTCTGTGATTTCCCAGAGTCCTTAACCTTCTCAGTCTGTAAGATTATCAGGCTCCCATAGCCACTAACTTTGAGCTTTGGGATGAAAATGATAGGATTGGGCCGGGCGCGGTGGCTCAAGCCTGTAATCCCAGCACTTTGGGAGGCCGAGATGGGCGGATCACGAGGTCAGGAGATCGAGACCATCCTGGCTAACACGGTGAAACCCCGTCTCTACTAAGAAATACAAAAAATAGCCGGGCGAGGTGGCAGCGCCTGTAGTCCCAGCTACTCGGGAGGCTGAGGCCGGAGAATGGCGTGAACCCGGGAGGCGGAGCTTGCAGTGAGCTGAGATCCGGCCACTGCACTCCAGCCTGGGCTACAGAGCGAGACTCCGTCTCAAAAAAAAAAAAAAAGAAAGAAAAAAAAAGAAAATGATAGGATTGCCCAGTGTGCTGGGTTAAGCAAATTAGAGGCTGCCTGGCAGAACAGAAAAACTATCACATGAATATTTAGAATGGAATCTTTCCTGAAACACTCCAGATACTGCAACGCTATTTTTTATTCCTCTCTAAAGGCTATAATTTTATCAACACAAAGTCAGCCTTTTCTTTTTCCACACTAGTAATGTTTCTGAAGTTGGACATGCTTAGGTTTCTTAAATCAGAATGAGTCCCAGAAAATATATAACAAGAAAACTCTTTTGCTTCTCCCAGATTTCCTTTCATTAATATGGGATAGGGAGGCTCCTTGGGTAATGCTAACCTATGCAAAGAAGTTACCAGATGGTGGTAGTTGCTAGAATGAAAGACACTTTCTTGGTTCACACTTTCATATAGTGTCCTGAATTTACTCTTTTCCTGTGAGTATTCTACTCTGCCCTGCACTCTCCTTTGTCATGTGGATGTGTATTTATCATAGGTCTTTAACCCGTCCTTCCCAAGACGACAAAGCAGACAGTTGTACATGAAGATACGCAGTAAAAATGTGAAATTTGAACATTGCTGCACAAGTATTGTATTTAAAAAAAAAAAAAGTCTGTAAAGAAATTTCTTATGTAAACATACAGGGAAAATAAAGACTTTTATCTGTTCGAATGGGAGCATGATGTTTAGAGACGTAAATAACAGAAGTTGCTCTTTTCCTGAGCTGAAAACCCACCTTTTTGCAGAAAGGATTTAGTCACAGTGTTGAGTGAATATAAGTACCTGGGCACAGGAAAAGTATAGCTACACACTGAGGACATGTTAATGAGTCATGGCTACCCGAGAGAATAAAACCCCTGTGGTCAAGGAGAAGAAGACGCCTGCCAGCCTGCGCTGGATATGTCCAGACACAGGGTTGTAAAATGGAGCACAGGCTTGCAGCTTCCTCCTCTAACTTAATCCCTAATATACCCAGGCCAACTTAATTAAACATTTTGTGTTGGCAAGATTAATTTTATCCCCAATGAGAAAGCTCACTCATTTAATTGCCTCATTGGCCTGAGAGGCACAGCTGGCCATTTTTGGCTTCCATCAGGTCCCTCATTTCCCAGTCGTGGGTTTTAACGCAGCTACCCAATATATGGTGGAACCAAATGCTTAATTTTATTATGTGAGCTAGAAGGTCATGGTAATTATTAGTTTGATGTATGTCTCTTGATTTCCCTAGTTTTGGTTCTGAGATTTTAAGTTTCAATTGCTGCTGCATTTCCAAGTTCTTATGAAGGGATAGTTTGCTTTCTGTTTACTAACAACATATGAGAAGGCTTCTTCTCAATACTCCAAGTCTTCATTTTCTGTTTTTGGCAAGAATTATGTCTTTGATACTCCCTGTAACTGTTATTTCAGATTTTGGTATGAGGAAAAGTAAACTTCCGGTTGTGCGTGATGTATTTCATTAAGGAATATCCAGCCTGACATTTAGGTCTTCAGACTTTGATTCTGTAGGGAGCATTCTGATGACCTTCACTATGTCAGTCAGATGGAATTTCCAGGGGAAACCCATCCTAAATGATTCAGCACTTTGGGTTGCTTTGGAAGTGAATAGGGAGCTGGTGAGGATAGTTGCCAGGTCATCAGGTATTTTAGGAACTCCTTCTCTTCCCTGAAGCATGTGAGTTCTTGCTGAAATCTATATAATTTGGAGCCTCAAAATAGACTAATATGCACTTACCCATATTGAACGTGTCAACATCCCTAACCTGGCACACAGTCCTACATCAGAGCAAGAAAAAGAAGTGTGTTTTAACTTCTTGCTTAATTTTATGTGTGAAACCAAAATAAAAAGAGGCATGACCCAGTTTGAGGGAATTATAACAAAACCCTACCTTAGGCTCCATGATAAGTAAGACCCTGTGCAGACTCTGAAGCCAGGCCCTGGGCTTTAGCCCCTGAGGTGCAACAGGCAGTGTTTACTGAGCTCTGTGGCCACAGGGTATCTGCTGTGACATGCCATTGGTTACCAAAGGAACTGGGCCAAGGCATGTGGTTAGGTTAGTATAAATCCTTCAATGCTAGTAGAGAGACTGCTTCAAACACATTTCCTTGTTGGCACAATGCTACCTTCATATAAAGGAACTGTTCATCCTGAAAACACATTTTCCCTGTAAGAACACATTCACGTACTCAAAGACTTTCATCTGCCAACAAGATTTAATAGTTACCTTCTGTTTCTATTTGGAATTTCTCCTATCTCTTGACTACCTTGTTTCTGGTGCTACCACCACCAGAATTCCTTAAGGGAATGTGGAGGTCTGGGTTTCCCCCATATTCTCTGGCATTTCTTTGCCCTTCAGAGTGCCAGGCTCAGAGAGTTGCACAGTGTGATTGCTGTCCGCCTCGGCCACACCATCCCTCCTCTAACAAGAATAGAAAGGTTAAGGGACTTGGCCTTCTCAGGAGAACCCTTTAAATGTACGTTTACATTCCTGCAAAGCCTGTTGATGCTGAAAGAAAGATAGGAAATAGCTCTCGTCCTTGTTTTGAAGGACAGGAGACTAATTTTCCCTTCAAACTTGATATTCTGGTGTTTTTGTGACTGTTTTTGTAAATTATTCAAAGTTGTTGGAATTTTAAGTCTGATTTTCCCATTACTCATCATGAAGGTCATAGAATATGCTATGAGTTGGAAGGTTTTCCAAGTGGGTTCTTGACCAAAAACCTACTTTTTAACAAATAATTTTGATGGGTTAGACATGTTCTTCCATCCTCTCCAACTCTGGATATGGGCACACACACACACCCCTTGGTACTTCCCAGTTCTCAAAACGTAATCTAGCACTTCAGGCATCCAAAGTGCCCCTGGTTCAATAGATAGCTGCTTTTTGCCGGTCTCTGTGCACAAATTGTTTTGACTGAATTCAGTTTAAATTTCCAAAAAGCACTGATTGTGTTCAAACTAATGTTCATTGGATTATTGACCCGTATGATGCCAGAGTTGGTCGTTGGCTTTTTTTTCCTAGGAGATATTTTGCTCTCCTGCAGAACAAGCTTAATAACATTAACTTTCAAGGTAGTTTTGGAAGATGAGAAATTGTGCTTTTGTTTTGGCAACTGAAAACTTTGTCCAACGGATACTATGTGAGGAAGGTGGTTTAAGGAGTTTTAGGGCCCTCTTGTCCTTCTTTAAGGCTCTGCAAACCTTATTTTGGAAAACTTCTTTTTCTCCCTTTTATTTGAATTTCCTCCCAGAAATTATCATCTTGGTATCACCGAGACAAATCTAGTATCAATATGCTTGCCTGAGAAACTAGGATTATGTCTGTCCACATAAATTGCAAGGGAGAAGGTATTCTGTTTATTTCCTGCTGATGCTTTCATATCACCATGTAACTGCACATATTAAAATTATAATGCAAGTAAAAATTTATTCTCTTCAAAATCTTATTCTTCAAATACTATTCAGAAAGCCATTTGGCACAAGTACAGAATTTAACTTAACGCTCCAATCTGGAATTCACTGAATGCATTCAAACTGTTAGAAAGGAAAATAAAAATGGAGGACAAACACATTTTTGTTTTGTTTCTGAAAACAATATTTAAGGTCAGAACTGTTTAAAAAGAAGCACTGCTAAAAAGTTATAGGATTCAGAGAAACATAGTATTTTTGTACAGTATCTTATAAAATGTTCAGACCTCTCTCTACATTCTCTTTACAATGTAATGTCTCTTAAGTGACTGGTTTCCCAATAAACTGATTTTAATGCCTCTTCTCCTGTGGTCTGTGTGCTTAATTCAAGCAGAAACTTTAGCAGGGGATAATTTTTGGCAGAAATTTCTGCTAGCTAATGGTTTGCATAGGAGGGGAGAGGGTCAGTATGGGAAGGGGATCATTGAGTTCCATCTCTACAGAGGTTCTAGGTCATCTATGGCTCCAAATCATTGTATCTAATATTCTTATCCTGGTGGGCTGGGCAACTCCAGTAGTATCTCTTTACTGAGCCCCTGGTGAAATGATACCTTTACCCCCAACCACCTTCTCTCTGGATTCTTCTTGCTTAGTTACATATGCCTTTTTCCTGCCCTCTTGCTAACATGTGCCCAATGGCATCCTTCTAACCTGCTAATGTTTCTTGGAAGGTAAGCTCTCTTGCATTCTGATCATTGTCTATTTGATTTTAAAAGCCAGAGCACCCTGAGGCACCTCTACCTAGATAGAAATAGACTAGTATATTGGAGTTTGCTAATGCTTCTGTAATGACCCATGCATTTTACTCCTTCTGCTTAAATAACTTTATGACAGATTCATTTAAGCAGAGGAGCTCTTTATGAACTTAGAAGACTGAAAACAAAATTCTGGGGCAACTCCAGCTGAAGGTGATTTATTTGGTCTGCTTTTGATGCTGTATGCTCCCCTCAGAAGGTACCTTCAGTATTAATATTTTGGGCACTCTTGTGCTCTTTGAGTAGTGCTTATGATGTAAGTCATCAAGTAAACTTGCATTTATCAAGCAGCCACATTCTGCTTCTTTTCAGAGTTTGTCCCTCTGCATGTGGCGCAGATGGCCACATGCCAGATTCTGAATTGAGTCATCCCCAGACAGTGTTTCTACATAATCCAAAACTGTCATGGTATATGTGGAGATGAATGACTGGGTTTGTTTTCATTCCATAATGAGCCAGTGCCAGGTAGAGCAGGTGTCCGTGCCTGGCCCTGTGTGTAGGAGCATTGCATAGTTAACGCTGAATGTCTGTGTGCCTAACATCTTCATCTCCTTTCCTGTACGTTGTGCCTATCATGTTCCAAAACGTGAGACAGTGGTTGGTTGTGTTCCAGTTTGTGTGCAGTTTCCTTGCCTGACTTTTATTTTTATGTTTTTCCTTTTGCATTTTCAACATCTATTATTTGGTCCCACAATGTTTTTGCCGCGGGTTGACCATTAAATGTTCCAAATAGAGTTGAATTGACCTACACATTAATTCTGCATTTTATGCTTTTCTAGGTCTCCAGAGAGAGTCCAGTCCCTGTCCTGTAATAACTGTAGAGCACTTTAAAGAATCACTGGGCATTAAAGGCCTTCCCCTGTATCCAGACCCCTCCAGAGTACCTGGCACAAAGACTCAGAACAACTTAGAATCTGACTACTTGGCCAGAGATGGCCCTTCAAGCAACAGCTCATTCCACAGTAGCGAAGAGGAAGGGACTGACCTTGAAGGAGATATGCTGGATTGCAGTGGGTCTCGGCCTCTCCTTATGGAGTCTGAAGAAGAAGATGAGAGCTGCAGGCCCCCCCAGGGGAAGCTGGGAGGAGCTGTTGCATTCGCTCCACCAGAGGTCTCTACTGAGCAAGCAAAGACAGTGCAAGGTGGAAGAAAGAACCAGTTTCAAGCCCTCACACAGCCAGCCACGGATGGGCTCAGTGAGCCAGATGTTTTTGCCATAGCTCCCTTTAGGAGCTCAAGGGTTCCAAATGATGACATGGACATTTTCTCCAAAGCCCCATTTGTCTCCAAGAGCAGTGTGGCTCCTTCCCAGCCAGAGGAGTCGGACGTGTTTTTGAGAGCTCCTTTCACTAAGAAGAAAAGCATAGATGAGTTAACAGTTATCCAGAGCACCTCCCAGGAGCTACCTGCACAGACCGGTCTCCTCGGTCAGACAGGTGACATCCCCGTGCCCTCGGGCCATGAGAGAGCTGTGTACACCTCTGTCCAAACTCAGTATTCCACAGCTGGTTTTGTGCAACAATCTAACCTCCTCTCCCATTCTGTGCAAGCAGCAGACCATCTGGACAGCATCTCTCCCAGGGGATCCTGCCTGGAATCTGGGGGTCATCCTAATGACAGAAACAAAGGACCTCAGCTCCAGAAAGAAGCTGTCTCAGGCCCCGTGGCTGGCAAACCATTCCGCCCCCAGTCCTTATCCAAGTATTCCCGTCACTATAGCCCAGAAGATGAGCCAAGTCCAGAAGCCCAGCCCATTGCTGCCTACAAAATTGTTTCACAGACCAACAAGCAGTCGATAGCTGGGTCTGTTTCTATCACATCTCTTTCTTCCAGGACTACGGAGCTGCCAGCTGCTGATCCATTTGCTTTAGCACCCTTCCCTTCGAAATCAGGCAAGAAACCCTAGGAGCAAAACCTGAGCCTCAAGCCTCTGTCTCTGTCCCACCCTCAATACCTGCCACGGCACTCCCAGCTGAGCCTTCCGAAGAAGAAATATTATCCGTTCTTATCTTTCAATTCCCTGCGTCAGAGCAGAATTTCTTGAGTCAACAAACTCAGTTGCAGTGATATTTAGTTGAAGCCCCTTTAAGTTATGTTCTTTTTGTTGTTGTTGTTGTTAGTTTGTTTATATTGATTTCTGGACTTGTAGGCATTTTCATATCCTTCACAGAGGTCATCCACTTCCACCAAGAACTCTGCTTCCCCACACCCCCGGAAACTGTTTAAATCCTGAAATACTTCACCCCAATCCCAAAGGGGCCCTACTGTGGCTAGTTTTAATTCCTGTAGCTCCTGTTCTAAGGCATGCCCGCCGAAGGATCAAGATTAGTCCCTCCACTAAATTAAGATTTAGTGCTCCTGGAAAGGGGAGATGTCTGGAAAGAAGAGCAAGACGAAAACCCTGCACATCAACAGGAAGTATAATCCTGCAGTTACTAATCATTCATTCCTGTGGAAGCAGAAGCTCTAGGAGTCTGGATCTGTTTCTCGGTCTGTGTGCGAGCCAGACTGGCCCTTGTGCATGGGTGTCTGTGGGTGTGGAATGTACGTCAGAGCCTATGTAGAGACACAGGCAGATGGGATAACGCCTCATTATCTAGTCATGCTGGCAGGGCTTTCCGCACATCCATGCTTTTGAAATTAGTATGAGTGTACAGGTTTGTGTGTGCATGTATGCGTGTGTGTGCACAGGAAGCATTTCTACTTGAGGGAAATCCTGCCCCATCATGCCTGCCTCCACAATCAAATCACTCGTGTTTTGGTGTTTGCTCACCTAACTGACTTGAACCCCATTTTATTTAGTTAGTTTTCTTCTCATGGCAAAATGGAATACGTTGGAAGGTGTAGGAAAATGCTGCTGGAACTGATATTTCAGAGTCATCTTTTTTTCTCTCCAGAATTTCCTGTTTTGCTCTTAACAAATTCTATTTACCTGATTGTGAAAAATTAATGTCCCTTATACATTTTTCCCTCACGACACTAGAAAAGAACATCTTGTTACAGTTCCGGCCTCTGAGTATGTGGGCTAAATGCCAGCATTAGGGAATTCATCCATCGTAAGACGAGGCTACAAACTAGGCTTGCTTGTTTCGGGTTGTTTTGTTGTGTGGTTGTTGTTGCCAAATCTCTGCTGCCCTTTGAGGAAACGTAAATCTGAGACATGGGAATAAGTGTTTGGGAGGATGGAAAAGACCCGAGTCATGGAGGCATGAAAACTTTTACGTTCTCTGTCCTCTTTAGATGTTGAAATAGGCCAGACAGGTTAACTGATGGTTTTTTTTTTTTAATTGTCTTTTATTTCTGGAAAGATCTGACTTATTCCTAGCTTTTTTCATACCCTTTGTTACTAGTGCCTTAAAATAAAGCTGGCCAGGTGCGGTGCCACACACCTGTAATCCCAGCATTTTGGAAGGCTGAGGCGGGAGGATCACTTGAGCCCAGGAAGTTCAAGACCAACTCTGGCAACACAGCGAGACCCTGTCCCTACAAAAAAAAAAAAAAAAATAGGCTGGGCACAGTGGCTCATGCCTGTAATCCCAGCACTTTGGGAGACCAAGGTGGGCCGATCACAAGGTCAGGAGTTTGAGACCAGCCTGGCCAACATGGTGAAATCCCGTCTCTACTAAAAATACAAAAAATTAGCTGGATGTGGTGGTGCACACCTGTAGTCCCAGCTACTCAGGAGGCCGAGGCAGGAGAATTGCTTGAACCCAGCAGGCAAAGGTTGCAGTGAGCCGAGATTGCACCACTGCACTCCGGCCTGGGCAACAGAGCGAGTCTGAAAAATAAAATAATAAATTAGCTGGGTATGGTGACATATGCCTGTAGCTGCTCAGGAGGCTGAGCTGGAACGATCAGTTGAACCCGGGAGTTCGAGGCTGCAGTGAGTCGTGAGTCCAGTCTGGATGACAGAGTGAGACCCTGTCTCCAAAAATATAATAATAAAAATAAAGGCTGTATCTCAATGGGAAGATTTCTGCTAAGGCAGTTCAACTTAATGGAAAGAACTGCTGCATTAGGTTTCAACTTGAATGCTTTCTGTCACTTCTAGCAAAGGTTAAGTGATTTTTCCATTAGCTGTAGAAGTTTGGAGAGTTATTTACCAAGCCAGATCAATGATTTAAAAATTATTGGAAATTCATCTAAGAATCAAGTCTGAATGCCCAATTGTATTGCGGTTAATTAGGTGTGATAGTCTTTAAAGTTGAGCAATATTGGCAGTAAAATATGAGCAGCTACTTTTCAACACTTATTCCTTTTTTGGTTGGTCTCTACCTATTTCAAATGTCCAGATTAAAAGATAAATAATTGGCACTGTGCCAAGGTTTGGTTTTCCAACTAAGGTCTCAATTGTGCCATACACCTATGTCTTTCACTTTGGTGGATGCTAAATGTTTATTCTAAGAATATGCTTCTTCCCAATTCTCATTTCTGATTTTTATGTATTAGTGGATGCAAAATTGTCTTTCTAGTTGAATGAATAATTTTGGCTAATGCACATGGAACTTTGCACCCCAGATTCTTCCCATGGTCATTATCAAGTGAAACT